AATGTGTACAGACATTTTAAGGCTTTGTACAATTTTAGAGACTCACGTTAACACGCCAAGTTTTTCTATCAGTTCCTGGTTGGCATCTGCCAAGTTGGAGAATTGCCCCAGTTTGGACTTTATAGAGGAGAAGAGGTCTGTTTGAACGAATCCTGGGCAGAGGGCATTCATCCGTATACCATAGCCTGATGCAACTGAGGCAGCCTAGTAAGAAAACGGTTATCTTTACATTTTTTGTAGCTCTCGATTCAATAAGGTGCTGAAAAATGGTCACGGGAGAAAGATTGTGATCGAGTCCACTCGAACACTGAAGGGAAACTGAGCTTTGTGACCTGCATGTTCTCCTGCTAGCAGCAACCATCAGATGATTGCTACACTGGTCAGAGGCATGACATGAATAGCAACAGTAATCAGGTGTGTCAGGATATCCTCCACCCTGTTATTCCACCAGCAGGATGAACTGACGTTACAAAGCAGGATGATCCATCTTCAATACCATGCGCTTCAGTGTATGGTGCCAGTCCATTCCTTGAGCATACTTTTGTTGCAACAAGTGCTTGGTGGAATTACTGTTGCCATAGTGTTAGTCTGGTCATTCTGACCTAGCATTACGCTCACAACTGATGCTCACTGATTTTTTTTTTTTTCCCCCCCCAGACCATTTTATGTAAACCCTAAAGTGTGCTGAAAAACCCTAGATCAGTTTTTAAGTACTCAGACCCACCATGCCTTGTTTAAAATCACTTCAATCATCTTTCTTTTGATTTCTCTTTGAGCCTCAAGTCATATTGACCCAATCAACTTTTACTGGCTGATTAGACAGTGTTAATGAGCAGTTGAACATGCAAGTTATAGCAGTGGCACAGTTGCCCTAATAGCCAATGAGCCCAACATGCAGCTTACATTGACTCTCCAGACAGTACAAACAAATTGAAACTGATTTTTCCTGAAATTGTGTCAGTTTCCTTACCGCAAATGCTTGAGTAAACCCAACCACTCCATGCTTGGTGGCTGTATACACAGGGGAGCAAGACAGAACGCCAATACCTGTAGGATGGGTTGCAGTTCAACTCAAGTTTTCCTTTAGCAATCAAAGTAGTCCTGATAGTTCAGGCTGTTCATGATTTCAAATGAAGTGACTCCAATGCATGAAATGGTCTGTTTAGACGCAAACACATCATTTTGTTTACCTGCCATGGATGCCACATTGATGATGACCCCTCCACGACCCCCAGTCAGCTTGTTCATGTGCTCGATAACCAGGTAAGACCCCCTAATACAGCCACCCTATGACAAAAGGCATCCATGACATTTGCAATCTCTTGCATATCTGATGTTGAGTAGCTCAATGTGAGTGTTTCTTACAAGGTTGATGGCAATAGTTTTCTCCCACGTTATCTCATTGAAGATGCCAGCATTGTTGACCAGGATGTCAATTCCACCAAAGGTTTCTACAGTTTTCTGAAAGGCAGCTTGAGACACCACAGGAATAACAGTCCTTTCAAAAGGAAGTGACAAAATTCAAGCCAACAATAAAAAGACAAATTCATCTCTAGCCGTTTATTGGGAACTACAAGAACTGTTGCAGCATTCCCAATTCATGAAGCAACTTTAAGATTACTACAGAAGCATGCCAACTACAACTACCTCTGGAATCTGATCAGCTTTATTAGCAGCAGCTACATTAGCAAAACCCCTGTGCTCTGGTGGCTCATTGACTCCCACATGAGCAGCAAG